TTTTATATATTTACATAATAAATCTGCCATCTTTCTCATTCAAAAATTAATGATATAGCATTTGAGGCGACTGACAGCAAATACAATTGAACGCTCAAATTGTATTTCGCCGTAAAGCAGGAAGTATGTTTTATGCTGCCAAATATTTTGGTAATGTTTTCTTAAATCATTGGCATCTGTTAGCATCTAAAAGCATTACTTTTTTTAAAAAAATTAATTGAGTATAAATTCAATTAACTGCTTTAAAAAAATTCAATTTATTTACTTGTTTCAAAAAATTCACTTTACTTTTAAAAAATCCAATTCAACTTTCAAAATTCAGTTTATAATATACCAATAAAGTAATATCTATAAGATATTCCTAAAACCTAAATCTTTAAAAACACTTTCAAACATATATTACTTAAACATACCTTCCATGAGATACATTTTTAAATATTTATAGATAAAATATACTATACCTATCCTTTGTTAATAATTTTAATCAGTACTGTGTCCGTTAGTGTTTGCAAGCATGATGCTTCAAATTTACTTTGTATCTAAGAAATTGTCAGTGGCAAGGAAGATAACACAACATGGTTATTAAACAGGATAACTCAAAAGTGTGGAAATACCTTTCTACATGGTAAACAGTTGTAGGAATCAGAACCATGGGTAGCCAGAACGGGGCAGGTAAGGGCTGTCCGCCTATATTTTTTGCGTGAAGCAATCATTTTATAGGGGTTAGTCATGCGGATCATTAAGGTAGGTGAAGATTAATTAGATTCCAAATTCCCATGCAGAACCGTCGCGACTTTTGCATACAGATTACGAATATCAACTAAATTATGATCATGGCGACATTAATAAGAAAACATTCTTCGTTAAGAAAGAAGTATTTCAAAGTTTTATTTCTGTCAATGCTTGGGAAATCGAAATAGGAACGTAGAAAGGTAGTTCTCAATTTTTGCAGTTTATTCTAAAACAGAATCTCCAGAAAAAGGTTCCAAATTTTGCAACAAAGTGAAAATTTTTCTCTCAATTGCTGTAAGTGTTGTTGATAGCGAAAAGCGTTTTCTACATAAAAATCATTTAAGAAGCATTTAGAAACTGTAAATATATAATTTGCATTTAAGAAATCTTTCTTTACTGTCTATATAAAGCAAGATCAATCCAATAGGCATCTAAAATGCCACTGATGGATCTGCTATCAAAAAACAAGCAAAATTTCAACATAATTTTAAAATGTTGAAGTTACTCTTCAAATATAGACGTTTATTTTCCTGCATGTAGTTTTGATGTTATTTTTTGGGAGGTAGTTGTTATTTTTTTAATATGGAAACAGGCGTCAAATTCAAGGGCAGCAAAAGTTCTAGCTACCCACTGAATCAGAACTACTATATGTTGGCTATGACTGACTAGTAAAAAGCGTTGTATCATGGCGTGGTTTTGAATTCTGCCGTTTCTAGTTTAGCAACCTCAATCAGACACATCTAAACACATATTCGGATTGATGCTCTCAAATAATTCTACGGTTCCGATTAAAACCTATTCATACTCCTATGTTTGTCTCATAACAGGCTACATAACTGGAAGGAACGAGTTGCGTGACTAAGTAGGAAGAGATAGTAAAAATGCAAATTAAAACCATCTTGTTAGCTAAATAAACTAAATTGTCACAAATAGTTTAAAGCAAGAGGTTATAGCCTTACAACAGATTCCGATTTCATTTACATTCTTTGCCAATAAAACTGATGACTCTGGTCACTCCAAAGTCTGCAGCTGTCCTTCATTCTAGATTTCTAACGTGCCAGGAATGGTTGCCACTCTTTTTTCATTGACTGAGCTTCACTGCCATCAAATTCAACTTGATGCTATTCTCTTTCTCTCATATCGATCTAGATGAAATATTTTCAAAGCTGAACACATGTACATAGCATTTAATTTTGTTAGAAATTGTTGAGAATTTATGCAAAAGTCCCATATAGCTGATATTATCATAGCCAAATCTTCGGTAATTGCTAACAACCATCAGAATTTGGCATCGATATAGTTTCTAGCTTCTTAGAAAAGAATATTTACTCTGTTTAATTTTTGTTCTTACAAATGATAAAACCAGACGTGAATCATACATTCATGTCACATTTATCTTTACATATTTAAAAATAATGACATGCCATGAAATAAGAAATTGATGTAAACTATGTTCGCAGGGAATGTGTGAAAGAAAAGCTTAATTAGCATCATCCAATCAAAAGTGATCAAACGGTTTGTGGCATGCAAATCAAGAAGTTACATCATCTGATGGTGAATTAAGTGGTATAAAGTGTATATCTGAGTGAATTTCTGCAATACAGTGCTTGATTTCAGTGTGTAAGGACTCAGAACAGTTTGTTACGGCTCCGAAGTATCATTTGAAAAAGTCTAAATTCTGGCGTATCAGCGACCGTTTAGAAGCAGGGAAGACAACCATGGTGCAGTGAGAAATGTGAATATTTAAAGTTAGGCAGTCGCCATAGGCACAAGTTTAAAATTCTAGAACTGTTGAAAGGAATTCTGTACAAGTTTGCAAATGAATAACAATTGCTTCTCAAGATCTATGTATGGCAATGAATTCGTTGTAACGAGAAGTCTACAGTTCAGGGTTTACAACCTTCCCTAGAACTGTCTTATCACAGTAAATTGTATATAGAAGGCTTAATAGAAAACGCTTTATGGCGAAAACCAATAGTATGTGTTTCCTGTCACAACGAAAGACGAATCTTTTTAATTGCTGCAAAAACATCAAAACTGGAGCGTACACTAGGGAGTTCAATGTTCTCTTCACCAATGAGCCGACGTTCAGTTTAACATCGGATTCTAAACATCTTTACATCTGCAGGGAGTCAGAATGTGAAATATCCATTCTATCATTAAGGAATGTGACAGTTTCGGTAATGTTGGTGTGGTGGTATGGAGAGAAATATTCATCGATTGACATATGACCCTACATATTTTCAAAAGCGGATCTGGGATCTGCCAGAGATATGGAGTTGAGACCTTAGAACATTATGTAAGACTTTTCAGAAGTACATACGGATCTGACTTTTTATGAAAGGTCAATAATCCTCGTCCGCATCCAAGAAATCTCGTTGACGAAAAAAAGAAAACATTGATCCCTTGAAGATTGCTCTACTTGGAGGCGTGAAAACTAATTCCCCAACCTGTAGTTAACAACTTTATTGCCAGAATGAAAACAACAGATTTTCATTTTGGCAATTCATTCCCATTCATTATGATATGTGTGTTATACGAGTAACTCAGGGGAAGATCATATTCCATATTCAATTCATATGGCTTAATGTTTTTTCTGAACTCTCCTTGCAACATATTATTGCCATTTTTATTGTTTCATGCTGCAATTTTATCTCCTACGCAGTGCTCATAAATATTTTTCTTTCTATTTATGTGTTATGATATTCACTCCACCCATAAGTCATAAAATTATCGTTAACAGTTTCTTCTAAATCCGCGATTTTATGCACATAAAGATAATTTTGGACATGAACGCATTTTCGCCTCTTAACATTTTTTTCATTGCAAATTTAGCATTCAGAAATTTAGTCTTAAACACGTGTAATTTGGCGGCGGGACTGAGCTAAATCTCACTGTCCTCTCTAAGGTGCTCAAGGCTGTTGCCAACGACAGGCGTAATCTTGCTCTCTTTGCTACGAGGAATTTCGTGCGCTTGGGCTGATGTTACTGTCAGACAAGTGAGCATAAGTAAGAACAACAACAACAACATAATTTAAAGTTCAAAGTGTGAAAATTTCTGTTCGTGTAAATTAGTTAAATAATTGCGAGTGGCTGCTTGAGAGTAACCAAACCATAAAATACAGTGTTTTGCCAGACTTTGTTAAGAAACATCTAGTACCCACAAAATAGAGTTGTAATTGATTATGTCGAGAATAGGATGGTGGTTCTTTATTATTTTAGGTTTATTCCAGATTTTGCATTATGCCAATAGCTGTTTGCAAGTTACTGATCTTTTACAAAGTTGATAATGATAGCAAATTTTTAAACGTGTGTGAATATGATAAAAATGTTAGGAAGTGTTTTAATCATAATATTATAAGGTATTTCTCTCACTTCCCCTTGCGTGCCTTCGTGGTGTAACGGTAGCACGCTGGGCCGGTATTCCAGAGGTCCGTGGTTCGACTCCCGGCATAGGCGGTTGCATATTTTTCAGCTCTCTGGCTTTTCCAACTAACCTAATGACTCTACAATATTAACATAAGTTTTATTTATAATTTTATCAGCGCTGCAGGTTCTGTTTGACTGAAATTGGAGATATAATTTAATTGAGCTAAATGAGGAAAACCTATTTTAGGTAATGATGTTTTATTGCTATCCATAATCTGGTTCATGGTCATAAAAATTAAAATTCATCAATTCCATATTTGTTCATTATTTTCCCTTCCAATGCTTTATTTGCAGCATTTGTTTTATTTGAAAATGGGCTAAGGAACATGAGTTCACAAAAAGGAAAGATTTTATTTCATATCACTGTATCAGTATTTAAAATATAAGCTGAAGTCCAGAATCTCTAAATCTATGTTTTGGGTGCTACTGCACTCACAATGCAACCGCATTCGGTGCGCATGGAATCAGCTGAACCCTTTCAGCAGCACTGTACAGTGCACTGAAAGTTTACCGAAAGCTACATTTTAGAGCTACGAACTTTTCCCTAGGAACACGAGAACAAAGAGCATTGATTGTTGAGCTGATTGCATTTCTTGATTTTCGACTGAGAATACAGCTTTGAAAATTCGTTGACTTTGAAATGATCATAATATTTAATAGGACCTGTTGTAGACCTTGAAAATTCAACAGAAATTTCTCTTTTTTTCTCTAAACGCAATAATATGGTTTTCAACAATCAGCGAAGAGCATGAATTACATATCATTTGGAAAAATGAACATTTCTCCATAGAATTTCCTAATAACATGTCGTATTGTAATACAGTAATGAGACTACGACGTTGCTTTGCAAGGAATTTATTTTTCATAAACTGTACACAAACATATTTTACATTATCATACAACTACAATGACACAAAAAAGAAATTCCCATACAAGAAAAGTTATAACGCAAAATGAAATATATGGAATTTCACACGCCTCATTTACAAATAGAATCTTATCATATCAAACAACAGTTTTTCTTTATACTTAATTATATATATTTAATCTCTAATAAAATAACCTTAAATTTTAACAACACATTGCTATATGTCATATAGCAAATTGGACTCTTTCGTGATTTTTTTTTTTTTTAAAACTAGATGTGGACAGTTTCAAGAGTCGATAGGTATGGAAAATATTTGATAACTGGAAAACCTTTATTACAAAGTAATAATTAAAATCTTATTATCGGACACTAAGTAATCATAACAATACAAAATTAATACTTTTTATATTTATATAGATATCATCTTATAATACTAAATTACAAAATTGGTATAACATGTTATTTTATGTTCTTATAAAATTTTGTGAATTATAAAAAAGCATTTTAAGATCTAATAGTTAATAGAAAGCAAAGGTTATTTTCCGAAGTACCAATGATTAATTAAAAAAACTAAACCGATGAGGTTTATTTCTATAATTACTCATGGCTTCATATTTCTTAAAATGTTTACTGATAACATAAATGTTATAAAAAAACTGAGACATGTACTTATCAGATAATGTGCGTTAATTTAAATTTCTCCCTTCATGACTTTTCAGCCTAACCAAATATTTCCAGTGTTTAAAAAATTACCATTATTTTCGAAATTAAATTATTTTTAAGCATACTGATTTTTTAATAGTTTAGATTTTTTAATAGCAGCATACTGATTTTTTAATAGTTTTCCTTTGTCAAAAATTTAGCATTCCAGGATTTTTTGTATATCAGTTTAATCGATTTCTATAAATTTGTTTGTATGAAAATAAGTATTATTTTAAATTCTTTAGAACTTTTTTTTTTTTTTTTAGTTTAAGGATCAACTGAGACAATAACATAAATTGTTGAACATTTTCAGTAGTCATGTTATCATTTTCCCTTTTATATAGTTAACAGTTTTTATATAGTTCTATATAGTTCTAATCCCCTGATTCCCCTTTCTGCCTTCACTACAATGTTTTATGTGTATTTGTACTGTTTCCCTTAAACTACTTAACCAATTATTCAAATGTTTGTTATCTTTCCTGAACTTCTGAACTTCCCCTCGCATTTCCTCGCCAGGATGTAAATTTAAATTTAAGTGAAGTAAGCATTTAAACGGGAGAATTTTAGAGTTTATTCAGCGCGTGTTTTCGCAGATTTCGTTTCTGACCTTGCTGTTACGCTGATACGCCCGTTGGCTATTTCAAATAATTGTCACGCCCGTTAGGTTTGTCGAGTCAACCTAAGATAGCCGTAACTTAACGTGCTAATCCAGCACTATTCTATTTAGACTTGAACTGATTTGTATAATAACGTTAAGTTCCACCGCAAGTTGTCGGTATTAAAGCGCGAAATACGTGCCTTTTCTGTTCATAGTTGAAAGTATTAAAGGATTATTTTCGCCCTTCTTCTGTGCTGGTATTACTTCACGCTTGTGCGAGAATTCGCCAGGTTCATTTGTAGAATCTAGATTAGTTTATGTGGCCTAATAGGACTAGATCTTATATATTTAGACTTCAAATTAATTTATGTTATATGTATCCTTTTTAGCAAATTTGGTTCAATAATTCCATTAATAATATCTATCAGCATCAGAGGCAGATTTATGAGTTTGCGCAAGTTACAACTGGCGGTCCAATGGTTCTCTAGATCACTCTTCGTATTAGAAAAAAGCATAGAGTCTTAAGATACAAAGCCCTCATACACTCTAGTAAGGCAAGCTCTCTACTTCACAAATACACCTCTGTTATGATATCAAAATCCATCTCTTCTAGCAGCTTAGCATATTATCCATCAAGGAATACATTTTTATTTATTTGAGCGCCTATTATGAATTATATATCAATATGTATTTCCTAAACATAATTCTGTACCTTGAAGGAAACAGATCAATGTCCTAAATTCTTGAATTCACGACTTTTTGCCCCAGTCACATCAAAAATGCCCGTTACATTCCAACTATTACTATATTACTTTAAATTAGAACTATTTCAAAGGACATAAGTATGATATTAAAAATTACTGTTACATTTTTAGTGACATACGTTTAAAAATATGGTCCGACCACATGCCTTTTCAAGCATAAGGACAAATTAATTTTTTGATAAATATTTCTTTGGATTCCATATGCATGATTAAAAAATTTATCGAAACTCCAGCATCTTTTCCTCAAAGTTTGCAAAATGTAAACCCCCTTTCCTTATCAAAACACTGAACTTATTTTAACGATTTTATTCTCTTAATATTAAGTGTTCTACAACAAAAATGTAATTTCTTATCCCTCTGGACACAGACCCTTTAAAATGGAATCTGTTAAGCGATTCTAAACACCATGTATTCTTAACCAGTTAATAATTACTCTTTTTAGCTATTATTTGACATATTTACCTTATGACTTCATGATTGTGTCACATATATTTGAAAACTATAGCTCATGAGTATGTGTAGCAATTCTGATTTCATACCTGATCCTTGCTAGCAGGTGAACTCGAAACACTATAATCCATGGACGGGATGACTATCAGCTTAGCTATCTGAAGCCTTGAAACAGGTTCGGATAACTCCCAGTTAGCCATGGAACATGCGAAGTTACATATTGCTTAACAGATCCGAAAGAGTTAAACCATTACATTCTTTCTCCCTGTTTGGGGTTGGAGGTGTCCTTGATAAGAACAGTTATAGAACGACCGTACCCATTCTAAGCGTTTTGCTTTAATTAGGTGCCTGAGCCATTGATAAGCTTCAAATCCACAGTCGGCACCACCAGCAGTCGAATGCTTAAGTGAGCTGAATAGTGCTAGTTCAACCAGGGTTCAAATCCCGCGAACAGGCTGGCTGCATGGGCGTTTTCGTGGTTTTCCCCATGTGTAACGTGTATACGAGCCAGTTTCCCTTAGAAAGTCCTCCACGAAGGCAACCCTCCCTTAAGGCAGATAGCCATCGACTGCTTTGCCGTAATCTAATAAAACCAAACCAATCGATCAGGGTTCGAGCCAAGGCGAACGAGCTGGATACATGGTCGATTTTCGTTATTTCTAAATGTATATTGCGAAGATAAGCCAGTTTCTCATCTACGAAAACAGCCCTCTTCTTAGTTCTTCGAGTGCTTTGCCCCATTCTAATAACCTAACCTACCTTATCAACTATCCGAAGGCGTTAACCTGATAACTTAACCACTGAGCTCATAATTTGACTTTAATTAAATACCACAAAAGGCATTCGTAAGAAGAATCCGTGTTTAAAGCACGAAGTGTTTTAGTCTTTTCTATCACGAAAACCAAATGTAATGTGCTTCTTATTTTCGATTCATTTTTCATATTTTCCAGCTGATTGTATTTCTCAGACTTGATGAACGTCTGATAATTACCTATACGATTAACAGAATCATTCGATTGCATGAAAAAGCATAATGTTTGAACAGCAAATTTAGTGGCTCTTTTTTAAACTCATCAAAAAATATTTATTATTTTCAGTAAACGGATCTCATGTGTTGACAAAATAAAAAGTACTGCTGTTTGGAGAAGTACTTGTAAGCCTCATATGCAAGCTACCTAATAAAACATCCTATCATCTGCGTCTAGAAAAATTAAATTGTTTTTAATTTTTATTAATTAAGCATATAAATCTCATAAAATAATGTTATAGAAATTTTTTTATCCTATCATTTGGCAGCTCTTTTTTAACAGTTCGTTTCAAATATATGATTTTATGTTCTATATCTTCAGAATCTGAGAATGATTCTCTAGCTAATAAGTTAATTGTAATTTTTTAGCTTAAAATAGTTTTAATCATTAAATAAAATCAGCAAACGAATCTTAAGCTGTGATCCCAAATTTCAAACTCTAGTTCCACATCCAAATGTAACCAGCAGAAAAATATTAAGTTCCCCTTAGCATCTAAATGAAATAATTCAGAATATCAAATACAATTTGAAATTATAAGCCACATTTACTACCGTGCCACCATGTCAACCTTATTAACGCAGCCTTTTAAAACACGGAGTAAAGCAAAAGGTCGAATAAACATGTCAAGTCATACGCTGCGTCACGCAGCAACATGCATTTGTTTCAACATTTACTGAGAATAATGTGCACTGTCTATTTCTCACGCACGCAACAAGTTTGCCCGAAAGTTGTTGAAATTCTCTAATTCTAGGTGGCATGCGCAGATTCAAGCTATTATACTGCAAGGTTTTTCTCTTCTCGACCAAGCTCAGCCAGCGGGATGACGTCGACGTCTTGTTCTAAAGCACGGTTTCTCCTGCATCTGTGGATAAAGTAACGTCAATGAGCAGATGTACGATACGTCACGGTCTCGGAATTGGAGGAGGCATTTGCTATCACCTCTTCTTACTTTCATCACATTACTATCGTCAAAACTCTACTTCTCATCAATAGAACCTCTTTCCTGAAAAGTATAGTAATGACTTCATACTCGACGAATAAACCACTCGAAAATTTCACACATTTTTCTAGTCTGGAATAGCGGAACTGCGCAGGAGATCGTCTTGCGAACTCCGTTCGCCTATGCCATTGGAAGGACTGAACCTTGAAAGAGCATAACCTTGTCTATCTACTGATCTTGCATATATCCATGTGAATAAAAGAGCACGATATTTAAAAAAGCGTAAAATTTTTGTCGAGTTAAGTAATATATTCACTTATAAATATTATTAAAAATGTGAGGAATGATAATACCAGTATATTCCGTTTGATATCGTCAGCCTTATTCAGCTGTAGACCTACATAAGGTAAGCCAAATTTTAAAAAAACCCTATAAAATGCAAAATGAAGATAAGGGACAAGCAAGAAAATTTTGTTGAATATATATTGCAAATTAAAAATTACTTTTGATAATAACATTTCTCGCGGAAAAGAAATAATTGCCGATGGATTTAGCTTATTTATTTTATAAAGTAAATCAATGTTTTTAATTTACAAAAACTCTTCAAGTGAATGCCTAACGCGTTTATGTTAAAGGACTTGGAAAAAAAAGTAAATTGTGATTCAAGATCTAGAAAGGCAGGCCAGAGTTCCTCTTTCAATCATTTTTAGGAACACTTCAGTCATAACCTCTGAAACATTAAATCTAAAATATGATGCGATTATGCAAAAGTAAGCTAGAACAGTGGTTCTCAACCTTTTTGCCCATATACACCCCTTTCACCATTGCTAGAAGATGATATCCTCCCCCTACTTTCCAAACATGATATATATATATACATTTATTTAGATCTAGATTATTTTCTATTTTTTTCATAAATTAAACAAAAAAGTGAAGAAGATATTAGGTAAATACCGAAACTTGAATCAAAGTAGTTTTTTATGCACAAAACTAAATAATTAACAGCTTAATGAAAGTCTCACCGTTTTTACCTCCTGAAACTATTAAATTCCCTGCATTCCCGGTTGAGAACTCTGGGCTAGAATTTCGTTTCATTCATGTATCACGAATTTTTTTTCTAATCATAAGCTGTCGATGATCAAGCTCCAAAATGTTAAATAATTTTTACAATGTAGATTATAATTTCCTTTACAAGCATAGCCCCTCCAGGAAAGTCTAATCGCATTTCTCAAAAGCTCAAACGGTCCTTTTCAGCAAAATTTAAATTAAGTTTTATACATCGTTATTTCTCTTTCCCATTACAGTTATTCTTTAATCCAAACGGTAAAAACGAAAAAGAAGTTCTGAAATCTAATTTTCTGGCGAACAAGCGAATATGTTACTGGCTAAAATCCTTTAATTGTCATTAATGTATTTAGATATTTAACAAAAGGAAGAAAAAACATTTAATAGTTTTAATTTGTCAAGATAAAATTTAATTCATTCAGTCCCATTTTATTATTTTGAGGCGATATCTTCATAAACAGTACAGTTTCTGGTTTATAAATAAAAATTGGGATGTTCAAGACATCTTATAATTCATATACAAATGAAGAATTCCCAGTTTCGAATATCTAATCTCAGATTAAACTTTTAAGAGGAAAAAAATGTTATAAAGCAATAAAATAAAATAAATGAAAAAACAATCGAAATACATGGGAAATCTTGTTAAAGCCTAGGTAAATGGTTTGATTGTACAAATTAATTATTAAAAATGAAATTATTTTGTTACATGAAATTAAAGGAAGCAGTGGTAAAAAACAATAAATATAAAAAACAAATGTACTTATTTATTGTTTTAATTAATTGTTGTTTAACCGGATTTTGAAAGTTTGTCAGCAGACATTTTTCAATGGATAATTAAAAGTGACAAACTTCTCTTCACTTATAAATCATTTTTTAAATTTTTCCTAGATTTACATTAGACCAGTATGTTACCAAATATTATGAACATTTTGAATGTGGGTAACATATTTGCATTACTTATCTCTGAGAACGTATAATTAAAAACTTTCCCTGAATGTCAGCTTCCAATGAAGAATATGACATAAAAAAATAAAATAAAATATTTGAAAGCTGCCTTAATCTGATAGTTAAACGTTATATAAGCATTAAAATCAAACAAATTTCCTTTCGCTTGAATTGAAAAACTAAGGTAGCTGTCTACATAAATTATTTACACAATTGTTTGAACTAACATTTAAGGAAATATTTCTTCCAAAAATATGAATGACTAGATATTAAAGGACAAACCACAGTTTTGAAGACTCTTTTTTTTAAATAATACAAAGTGGAAATAGAGTCTTTACTTAATGGCAATCTTTTGAAATCAAAAGAAAAGGCAAAATTTTTCAATAATAAATACCATTAAATATCATCAACCATTTCATTCTAAAACTACACACATCCTCATTCTTAAACATCATTTAAATTCATTAATAAAACTATATATAAATATCGTATATTTCAATCTTAAATATTGTGCGAATCAGTTTTGGAATTGCTTTTGGATTACAGCAACAATTTTAGTGTTATTTAAAAATAAGGAATTTAAGTTATAAATGAATTTAATTATCTCGGAAACATTTGGGCAACAGATTTTGGGAACGGGATGTATATAAATAGGAAATCGCTTTTGAAAAAAAGCAATTAAATTTAAGATACAGAAACATTTCTTGTATTAGAAAAATTAGACACTTGCTAAAAAAATATTTCCCGTGTCAAAAATCATTGCCAAAATAATGCGCAATGTATATAAATGTATGATGTGCAAGTGCTGTCTAAATACACGTAAATCATTCATAAAATAAAACATTAACACTATATGAGATCATAAACTTTAAGTATGCAGTAGTATTAGTGTAAAATGCTACTTTTGTAAATAAAGATCTAGTTTTGCTTATCTGTAACAAAACTCATAACTATTTAAAAAAACCGGTATTATTTTTGGCACCAAGGGCAACAAAGTTAAAAAAAACTTCAGATTAATCGTGAAAGAGTTTTTCCCTCAATCAAACTTCTTCAATAAGAAACTCAGTTAAGGTTTACTTTTCTTTCATGACTATCTGCCAAAACATTCTTCTCTTGAATCCCAAACTCTGTTGCCCTGATTTAATATCTGCTTTTAATCTTTTAAAGAACTCGCACTCTTCTCTATACTCGAAGGAACATCGTTAATAATCGGGTCCATTTCCCAGTAGTAGTTAGATGGTCCATCAGAGAAGCAATACTTTTCAGACATAGGTCGATCACCGTCAATATAGTACATCATATAGAAGTTGCACATTTCATCGTCGCCAGTGGGTCTGGAAAACAAGAAAGTGAAAAAAATGTCACATGACTAATTCATCAGCTAGGAAGATAATTTATTTCCTGAATACAATGTACTCCCAATTATCTGAGTGAGGATTATCCGTGTGTGGCGGCGCCTAATGCTGTGCGCGAGAATGTCGCTACAAAAAGCAAACACAAGCAAGTCTCAGCATGCTCTAGAAACCGCTGAATTGCGTCATTAGGCTTAGTTTCAACGATTACCTCGTACGATTGATTCAGCATATTTCAAAGGCATCGCTTCGGTTGATCGCCGGGATTTTTTTTTGGGGGGGGGGTTTCGTACGCATTTCTCTAAGCATTTTTCTCTTATTATTTTAAAAATTAATAAAAATTTTTAGAAATAAAAAATGAATAAACAAAATGCTACATGTACTAAGCACAAGAAAGTTGTTTTAACATTAAAACAAAAACTTAGGTTAAACGAAAGATTTCAGCATGATGAATATCGTTTCCAATATCACAAAAGCAGAAGAGATAGAGAGTGATACTGAAAATACAAGGGAAGAAAATATTGAAAATTAGCATTAGTCCCGAGGGAGCAATGACTTCTTTTGAAATTCTGTTACATTTCGCCGACCAACGGGAATTCGAATATAATGACAGAGGAGCATTTCGGAAATTTGCATGGAAATTCGGCAAACATTTAAACATCCTCTAAAACAAATTTAAATTATTGCTTTTTTTTTTAAGAAATAAACACATACAATATGCATGAAAATTGATAGTTTGATTTATTCATGGTTTTCAATTATCCGAGACCTGCTTCGCCGGCTTTAGACCAAATAATCGAGAGTACATTGTTTTCATCAAAACATGGATAGATTTTTCTGATTCTGGAAAGGAAACAAGAGATAACAGATTATTTATTTCTTTTAGAAAAGCAAATAAACAGTTTAGTACAATTTTTAAGACTTCATACAAAATTTTGGGAATTGTATTAAAAGAATTATTTAACATTTATTCTGCGCTTTAAACAAAAAGGTAAGAAATGATACGTACAATCAGCCAGTTTTTCTACATTCAGCACTTCATTCAGCATTTCAGATACTGATAAAGCATACTTTGGGTAAACATTCTAAAGCATACCTACGCATGCGATTTCCAAATACATAGAAACCACTGACGAATGTAGTCGGTAAATGTTTGTACTGTGATATTTAAATTAAACGCTTTTTTCTTCCGTCTGCTTCAGATTGTAACACGTCGTTTATTTAAAATCAGACGAAAATGTTGTTTTATTATCTATGAAAATTTCAAAACTTTATATCCAACATATTTTTAGACGTTGAATTTTAAAATTATAAACGTCAGAAAATCGAGCAATTTTCAAAAATTCACCAAAAATTTATAAATTTAGCCACAATTTTCACATATGTTTCATTGTTTTTTTCACTTTATTCTATATGCAAACAGTAATATTCTGATATGTTTAGTTTCTTCGTTAAATAAAGATATGTGCAAAAAACATTTTAAACATCAAATAAAAAAATCTAAATGAATTTTGAAAAAAATCCCTTCACCACATTGCACTCACATCCACCGACAAATTATATACAAAATTTGAGCTCGATAGCTTATCAAGAAGTAGGTTAAAAATCGATGACGAAATTCCAACCACAATGAAACACTATGAGTGAACTTATAAACCATGTGTAACCATGAGTAAAAACTTATAAAAAGAGCAGTAGCGGCAGATTCGGTAGCTTGTGCTATCAATATTCAATAGTAGTAGAATGGCATTACTTATAATTCGGGGAAAAGACAAAAATAGATAAGAGAAAATTTATAATATAACAGATTAATCTGGAATATTTCTGTAATTCTACACTCCCCAGCAAAGAAAAAAAAAAGAAAAGGAAAGAAAAAAGAATACAAAACTATTTACTATGTCGAAGATGGATAACATTTTAAACTTCGAATAGTTAATTGAAATGATTTAAGATAACAAAAAGTTTAATTACTTACCCAATATATGTATCTCTGTCTCGGAAATTAAACATCGTGCAGCGGGCGGCCTAGAACATTTAAAAAAATTCTAATCTTTGTTTAATAAAAAGTATTAGAAACGTATCAGATGCATTTCTGTTTGTAAATAATGATCATAACAATAATGATAACACTAGACTTAAACCTTACTGATACTTCAAAAATATAGAAGGGAATGTCTTATATTTTGTTTTTAATTTTAACTAAAACACTTACCACAATATCTCCATATTCGATAGTCAAATCCTTATTTTCTACTGGATAGAACATCTATGGGGGAAAATATTTAAGTGCCTTATGAGTAAAGAATATTCAAATAAATTAAAACAAAATCATTTTGAGTTAGCACAGATTTATAGAAATGTCTCCTTGTTTAAAAAGAAATATAAAAAAATCAATGGATTATATAAATTACAAGGCATTCAGGAGAGAGAACCGTGAAACGAATTGCACATTTTCCAGGATTTGAATTAGGGATCTCCCAATTGCTAGCGAGATACGCTAACCTTCTACATAGTACTAAAAACACGCATGACGGCAATAGAGAAAGGAAAGAAACCGAATCTACCAAATTTTCAATCGGTCAAGTGTTTTTTATTCAGGCGCCACTGCAGAGACTATTAAACATTCAACAAAGAGAAAAGTAAAACTTTCTCAGTGCTCTCGCTGGGATTTGAATCACAATTCTTCCATTTGTCAACTAACGGTTTATACCTACCGCGTACGGAAAAATGGCATAGTTCCTTATAATTTCACTTACTTTTAGTTCTTTGAATTTTACTCGCAGTCATTAAATTGGTGAATAATATGTACGAAATAGCAAAAGCACCCTAACCCTCCTCCCCCCTCCCCAAAAAATAGCCAAAGGTAAAAGCTTTCAGAAATATGCAGTAATTATAGGTCTGTATAGTAAAAGAAATGCCTGCATTTATATATATAACAACTTCATAGTAAGGTAACAGGCATATACAGTAAAACAGCTTATATATGTCAAAAATTTACCTGAGGTTCTTGAGGACTGTGTTTTCCAATAAGATGCCATTTTCCACCTTTATCAATTTTGTAACCGGATACTACCTCTCCTGAAAATATAAGAAACATTGCAATGCAAAACCTATGTTACAGAAGGGTAATAAACATAATTATAGTTAAAAAAAGGGCAAAAATAAATATTAAAAAGAAAGAATGTGAAAGGTTTTACATTTTAACGCTTGCCCAAAAGGGGTTATTAAGATTTTTTTACGCTGAGCTTGTAGTTTACCAGTCTGCCGTTGCACTCACTCCTACCTACTCATTATTTTTTTGTCTTTTTAGCTTTATTAAACATCTTTTCTTCGCACTTAACGTCATATACAATTCAATAGCAAAATCGTTAAAAGTGGCATACATTTAGTATTCCCGACGCAGCGTTTAGTGTTGGCACACACTTTTTCGATTTTTTTTTATCAACTCTTACTATTACTTTCAGATTTTTCTCAGTTCATCAAATAAACATTCAGTTTTCCAACAAAGAAAAAAGCGTACGAAAGCGTACGAAACGTCTTCTTTGTCTTTCCATTATTAACGTTTTATGTGTTAGCTTCATTTATTAAATGTCACGGTCTTCGCTCTTACCGCATATAAAATTCAATTCAAAAGCAAAATCACAAGATATTTAAAAACAGCATATCTTTAGAATTTTCATCAGACAGACTCTCGCGCTGAAGATAAAAATGTTTTAATTCTTCAAATCATTGAAGTTATCAGTGAAAAGTTCATTAAGTTTTACAAAAGGTGAAAAAAACATAGTAAAAAAAGGTTAAAAAAATTTGAAAGCTTTTCAGATTTTATATTACACCCAAAAGAACTTTTTTTTTAACATTTTGTGTGTTACCTTTATTTATTAAATATCACGTTCTTGGCACTTAAATCACATAAAATTCAATTCAACGGCAATACCACAAATAATTTAAAAACAGCATATCTTTAGAATTTCCGTTATTCAGTTTAGCGCGTTGGAAATAAAAATGATTTTTTTTTCGTACAGTGTTGGCAATGCTTATTTTGAAATCGCTGAGTTTGTTAAATAAAAATTCATTGAAGTTTTACAAACTATGAAATAGATTAAGATACAATAATACGCCGAACAAATATTAATTTAGAAGTCAAATAATAAAAATCAGTTATATTTTCAAATTTTCACAGAAGAGTTTCGATAGTTACCGCACCTCATCTTCAGCTGCAAATGCTGAGGATTTCACATTCTTTTGCAGCTGAGGATGACGGTTCGGTAAAACCATCGAAACTAGTCCTGTGAAAATTTGAAAATATAACGCTGATTTTGTTGTTTGACTTCTAACTTAATATGAGATAGATAATAAAACAAATTCGAAATTCAAAATTCGAGAGCATATTTGGGTGAAGGATTACGTTATTCAAAATTTGATAGCTCTAGGTACCGTCGTTTTTTCACAACGCGAGAACCATACATATATTCATGCATGTTCTTCATTATTTATTTTCTTTAAATATAATACAGGGCGATAATATTTGGCGGCAACAATCTGAAAAATGATTCAGCTTTTTACAGTGAATCAACCCGAAATCCCGTTTCGAGACTAATAGCCCTTCTGAACTAACACTCCTTTGGGCTAAAAATGTATAGCAAAATTCATCGAAAATAATGAATATTTTAATTAGATAGATTATGAATTAAATGCACTTTATTATTCAAATCAGTCAGATTCAAAAGTAAGAAACGGATATTCTTAAGAAATGCATCAATTGTTTTCAAATAGCTTGGTTTGTTAATTTACAACGGACAGATTCAATTTGGAAGACAGATATCTTATATTTTGCCGAATGGCAACAGATTCGAATGAAAAGTAAAATGACGTATTTATATTCAGCTGACGCAAAATCGTGTTTCGAGACTTGTAGCCCCTTTTGGGCTAATAAAAATAAAGGCACTTTTGTAGTCGTAAACACGAATTTAAATACTTTTATGGCTAGGCGTACCGACGAAAGAGGAGTCCATCGATATAAACCCTTTGATAAAAAATGAGTAATAAAAGATTCTCTAGGATAAATATCAATCCAAACTTGCACACTTTTACATTTATTTATAAGGTTTAGATTAGCCTCAGTAAGAAATTCTTAATATTATTGATAAAAGTATTCTGGAACATATTGTAAGACGGATTTCAATGACGCTTATCATATTTCCTACTATATTTACTTTTACTAAATTTCTGCGATACGAATACTTACAAAATGAACTGAGCAGACTGATATTAAAAACAAAATCATATGTTTACAACTATCTTTCTTGAAAATTTTTATTATTTCTGATTTTTCAAGAAATCGTCAGAAATGAAGAAGAAATGCATCAAATAACCTGAAAATCAATAATCAGAAATGGTAAAAATATATATATATATATATGTGTGTGTGTGTGTGTACGTGTTAAGTTAGGTATGTTGTAGACAATTATTAGCCAACGCAAAATAAATTAGTGCTATAAACATGCTTGTTTTAGAAGTTTTACAGTTCTGAAGACAGCAAGCAGCAGTAAGATGGGATCAGCAAAGCGGGAAAGCAAATGCGACGTTTCCAAGATAATATCTTAAATCTGAGTGATATAATTAAGGTTTGCAGTTTTTCTCCACTGGCTAACAAATGGTTCTGCTATTGGCTACTTGAATTTTAGTTTGCAAATAATCGGAAGCAGGTACTATTTTTAGAATAGAAAAGAGGAAATATCCAAATTAAAGTTCAAGAGAGAAGGTATCATTGAAAATTAAATTTAGGACTTACATTTATGCATTTTGTATCTAACGTATTTAAAGGCATGCTTTACATTTGTATTGTTAATATTTACATTTTTCTCACTAAATTTCTCAAATTTCTTTCGCTTGAAGCGACTGTGAAATGGTTTATCGCTCTTGGAGTAACATTTTTTTAATGGCTGGCACTAGCCATCTTAGACTTTGGTCACTACTAAGGCCAGAAGTAGTGGTCATTTTATTATGGGGGCACCTAATAGGCGACCACCGTTACTTCCTATGAAAAGCCAGACAATTTACACACATGCTTTCTTCGGGAGTCGAACCCGAGTTCTTCGGTATAGCAGTCAGAGTCACTAATCACTTTCCGGTTTAGGTGGCACTTAAAGTTACATAGTTTAATTAAATGAATATGGCAAAACAAGCAAAGGTGATCTGCTTGAATGTCTCCTTGGAACTCTTGTTAAGAGAAACTGTTTCACATTCATGTTATACATATGAAAAATATATACATGAGATATCTGCATGGGATACACACGAGATATTTACACGAGATATCTACATGACATCTATCTATATTAAGTATACAGCTACATAGATAGCTGCATAAGATATATACATGAGGGAAAAACCATTAACATGTCATTCATGTAATCAGTCCATTTGCCAGAAATCAAATACCACTATTTAACAATCTTATTCACTCGATCATTATAAGCCTAAGCTATACATATTTTAAACAATAATATGCGCATTTTTAATATGGCATCCAAACACTGTCATGCGAATATGGAATCAATAGGTTGCTGAAGGTCATACTAAACGGCATGATGCAATTTTAATACTGTTTTGAGGGGGGGGAGGCGGAGATTGCTTAGTTACTTACCCAAAAATACGCACACGTTGTTTCTTTCAGGTATGAACATCAGTTATTTTAAAAACTAAGTTTTGACTTTTGCTGTAGGTAGAAGCTCATGAAATGTATAACTGTGACATGAATATAATAATTATTAAAACTATTTAATTTTCGATTGAATATCTGTAATAAAATTGCACGGTTTTGAGAAATGAAATATTTTGTAGACCTGTATACAAACATTACTTATACATTAAAATATTTCAGGTATGAATATAAAACGTGATGTGAATTAATGTTAAGATGTAAATTTAGTAAGTCAATATTTGGAACAATTTCAGTCACTCTGAGACTTACCGAGAGCATGCGTGTGTGTCCGAAAAGCGAAAGGATGAATAACGACAGGCTCATTGATTCTACAAGCAGATTCGAAATGTTCTGGGGAAAAAGTATAATGAATTATTAAAATGAAACACATAAACATTCCATAACTTGCACACTCAGTACCAAAATTTATATAAATATAATTAAAAAGTAAAAGTATAATTATTTATGCATTTTTCAAAAATAATGTAATCGTGAAGAAATGAGATTACCAAACAATTTTAAAATTATTTGGATTTCTCAAGATTTGTCTGAAGAGCAGTTTTAAGTAATACACCAGTGTTCTAAGAAAAATAACGCCTAGTTGAAATGTACCTATGAATTGTAATTTTCAACGACATCTAAAGGAGCTAACATAGAATAAATGATTAGCATTCGAAAGCAATATGCATAATATACGTCAATACAGTTAGGATTCTATATGTTCACCTCTTGTTTGTATTGATGGCATTCCCTGTGACATTGAATTAAATAAGGTTTTAATGGTATCTATAAGAGATTAGCAATGTAAGCTTCATTAACTCGCGTAAAATGCTCATCAAGGGATTTTCAAGAGAACTCTCATAACGCATTACTCTTCACTCCACCATGCACCATGTATTTACAATGCAAACTAAATCAGGTAATTGAAACGGCAAGGCAGAAGTGAGACATAGTTAATTCTCAAGTAAGCTAGTGTTCTTGCTGCAATATGAAGAATGGCACTGCTCTGCTAGAAAGTTATTCAGTAGTGATGTTGCAAATATAGAAGTGCAGCTGGTCGTAGATTGTCAGTAATATATACAACTTCCGTTATAGTTACTTGAACAGTTACGAACGAAAGATGTTTTACCTGTGGCATTGCTTTCAAGATTGCTTTTCTCAAGATTTATTGACTCGAAAAGTTGGTGGATGTCATCCTACGAGTTAGTTTTCCATACGCGTTCCAAATGGCGAGTTAAATCATCGCGATCTAGGGACGGTCGAAGACGCCTACGAATCACAGCGCAAATGGGGAGAGATCTGGCGATCATACTTGGTAGGGAAGTGTTAGAGAAGTACGAAGGTAAGCAGTGAAAAAGTTGAAGAATCCTGTTGAAATATAAGCTCAAGGGTCCATGAAAGTAAGCACAACACCACAGGGCGTAGAATCTTCTTGACATACAGCTGTGGTGTAAAGGTGTCACAGATGACAGCCAAAGAGGTTCGAATCAAATGAAATGATACTCCGTACCATAACTTGTGGTTGTCGGGCTGTGTGGCGGACAACGGTCAAGTGAGTATTTCCTCCGCTAACCTGCACGTCTCCAGACACCTCTTCGCTGATCATCGGAGGTCAGGTCGAAACAGGACCCATCGCTGAAAACAACTCTACACCATTTCTTGAGATTTCAGGTCGAATGTGCCCTGAACCACTGAAAACGTGTCTGGCGGTGTGCAGTGATGAGAAGCAGTGACACAGTGGAGCTCCATGACTTCAGCCGGCGTCGCTGAGTTGCCTATCAACGGTCGTTACAGTCACTGCTGCGCTGGTCACACATCGGATCGTTAATAGGGACTGTAAGCGCCGATCGGGCGATCACTATGTCATCGTCCTCCATGGCCTACTATCTTTCTAACGCTCTGCATGGTCCCATAGTTCACCAATTTCTAGCAACACTGTCGAATGTACCATCGTTCCTGCTCAAAAGATTAACAATCTTCCGATTTGACCATCCTGCTTCGTTTAGTCCAGCTGAACTTCTTATCTTTGCATACGGAGCTCCGTTGCAATAGGCTGGAGATTCAGCTAGTCAATTACTGGCCGCCAAAAGTTAATCATTTCCATATTCTGTCGTAAGGATGGGCATAACGCAGTTTCATCCTATTCGGATAATTCCTTCTTTGTGCGTCGCTTCTTATGTGAAAGAGTGTACATGTTGCCAAATATTTCCTTAAGTGAAAGCAATATGACCTTTCTAATTATAAAAATATCCATTTCCATGCCTACCTTCTTCGCCAGCTCGAATGACTCCACTAGTTCCAAGGAGGTAAACCCCTGCAGCTTTCGTTACCCTAAATGAACACAAAAACAATTACATTAGCTTCATTCCAATACACTAGCTATTACAGTACAATGCATTATTTCAGTTTAGCACCCTTCCTTCCCTGTATTGTAACAATTACATTAGCTTCATTCCTATACACTAGCTATTACAGTACAATGCACTATTTCAGTTTAGCACCCTTCCTTCCCTGTATTGTCAGCCACTGAGCACAGGAAGGAAGCACAGAAAAACATTGAATTTTTTAACCCTATTACAGTACAGTACGCTATCTTACATTATAGTAGCTTGAAAGAAAATAAATTACTGCATTATATAAATAAGTACAATTATTTAAAGTTATTTAAATAGAGTTTTATTTCCTCTAGTTCAAACTTCAACAGCAAAACAGAAAAATTTAAGCATTGTTCTTCCATATCTATTTTTCTCGCTGTCAGAAAATTACCAGCCTGAAGCCGTGGCAATACTATGTATCTATATTCGGCATGATTCACGGCGATTTCTCAGTAAAACATAAGCTACAAACAAGAAGCTTGATAAATTTAGTTGCATGGAAATAGCTAAACAAAGGCATCAATAAATAAAAAAAAGATTGAATTATAAGGTATAAGATAATAAATTTTAGGCAATAAATATAGGAGAAAATCGTGACTAGAAATAATTCATACAATGTCATTCGAACTACTATAATGTTTTATTTATGATCTAACTTAAGAAAGAAGAAAGAAAAATGTAATTGCGATGTATCTGTAAAATAATTGTGTGCTTCTGTAGTATGATAGTTGTAAGAACCTTTCCAGAAAAGCCTGAAATGGGCAATAGCTGTAAGTACTTCAACTGGAAATTGTAAAATGGACAATAAAAGAAACGCTAGCTGTAACTTTGCAGATAAGCACTATTATACGAGATAATTATTTATAACTCTTATATTTTTCCCCATTACATTGTAGTATTGTGTGGCTCCAACTTGTCAGCAACCGTGGTAGTGACTGCTATGAACTGTAAATTTACACAAACACGTAAGAAGGGTGAAAGCCCCTTTATTCCACTTTAGAAATACACTGCGTCACTGACGCTCACAAACTACGCCGACGCGGTTTAAAAAACAATGTGAAACTAAAATAATGTCAGGATGAAAACAAGCAAGACCTACGGCTCTGAAATCGTAACGAACCTAACCGCGTTTAAAATAACAGCTGAGATTAGCGGCTTACTGGTAAGCAGTTGAAAGATTAAGCAAATGGGATAGGCACACAGCCGAACGGCGGTTCTAAATTCTACTAGAACCTTCACGTTACGATTCAAGAAGCAACTTACAAAATCGTTCCCTCTATTTAAACTCAACTTACTTCTGATAAAATTTGAATATACTGCTCCCTCTACTACATTTACAACTCTGATGGCAATCTGAACGGGCGGACAGGAAAGATAGCTTAAAATAAATGTTAGTTAAAATAAATATAAACTACATATAAACTAGTATTCTCAAATAGTTAACATTATCTATATTCCTCATTAATCTTACTTGAAACTGCAAGGGGATCTGTGCTTAGTAATTGGCTGCGAGTATATCTCTTTGTAATGCCACCGGTTAAATAACTTTCCCTTTTAAACATTCTTAATTCTATAATTTTTGGAAGGGGGCTAAAACAAAAACTCGAGTTTAATGAAAATAATTTTTTTCTAAATTATACACGTGTGATATTTTTTATATTAAAAGCACAAGCTCAAAATGGAAATATTCTAGTCCTATTCAGCATAGTTGAAGAATGTTCCATCAAAATATTTCAGTACAAAGCTTTATTCTGTACAAAGCTTTATTCTTTACGCTTTATTCTGTAACGTTCTTTAGATTACGTTTAAAACTTTATGGTTGACAGTTGAATTTCTTTCTTTCATTGGGATTTTTTCTCCTTGGAACTTAAAAGTCAGACTTCTTTTCAAACAGTTTGTTAAAAATTATCTCATTTCCCTGAACGCACTTTCATGGTGTTTCCAGCTTGCAAGTGGAAGATCCATGCTTCGGACCAAATTCAACTGATTTTCACCTTCTCTTTCTTACCAAGCTATTACATTTTAGAAAGTTTACGTAACTATCAGCTTTATAAAGGTAGTTTTTCTTTTAAGCAGTGATTATTCATATATTCTAAGAAATTATAGGTTTGTTGAGATTTTTATACAGTTCGAAGTTTTAGAATCTAAACTATTCACTATCATTTACCTTTCACTCATTAGGATTAATTAGAATTTATTTTTCAGGAATAACCTAGAATTTATCTTTAAAGAATGGCGTGTGTGAGTCGTTAAATAAATATACAATTCGAAAAGCTTGAAAGTCTGAAATATCGAGCTGCTATCATTTGCAAATAATAAATCGATATCCAAGGAAATGAATATCCATTTCCACTTTTTATCGCCGATCTTTCCATGTGAGAGATTAAAAGGTATGTGGAATTTCGTACCTGATGATTTCATCTGAAGGTTTAAAATGCTGCTTCAATTATAAAAACATCTAAGAAATTTATAAAATATTTATTATGAAAATGATGACATTCCCTATTCAATTCTGTCACAAGAATAAATAAATAACCATATTCTACTGACTTTTCCTATCTACTTGTATACTTTCATACACCATAAAATACAAATTCCTAAATCCATAAATACAGATAGATGACTTATTGCCCCGTCATATGCTAATGTACAACAAATACACACTCAGACGAAATTTAAAATGAACCGTTTTATTAACATGACGTCCAAGTGGTTTCATAAAACTAATAGCAATACCAGACAATCAAATCCCCGCAGCTTGCAGGAAATTCAGAACATATGTTCAAGTCAAATTAAAATATTAAATTCAAGCAACATCTGCCCAAGTATGCCTTGGCTCAGATCTTAGCATCTTCATGAAGTAATTACGGATAGCGAAGCTAAATTTGATTAAGCAATACAATCGATCGTAGAAAGATTAAAAGAGTAAAAGGTTACTAAAGCTTTTCCACGAACTTGACAATTGGTTAATAGAACCCTTCGGAAAAGAATAACAATATATTTTATCAGATGAGCATTTAAGTTTTGTATCAGTTGTCAAACTAAAGCTAGGAAACTTCTAGCTTTAAGTAGTAAAAGCTTTCAGTTGAAGTCCACTACACAACAAGTTTTAAAACACAATCAAAATACTAAATAGGAATACCTTATTTTTTAAATGATTTACTATTTACGTTAGAAGTAGAAGGAAATTACAAAATTACATGTTCTTTTGTTTCAAAATTGCTAAATATGCTTTCTACTTATAAGAGACAACATTCGATTTGATGGAAATTCTTTAGTATTCTAGATACGTTACATTTCTAAACTGTAAATTGAAACCCTAACGACATCAGTATTTTTACCTAGCCCATCTGATAAACCATTACATTCACATAGCTCTAAAGTCTTTAAAATTCTTAATTGAGCTCATTCAAAACTTTAGTCCGAGTAATCGTAATCATGCCTTCTTTGGATTGTGCAATCAATTCATGTGAAGGACTAAGTAGCGTTATAACCTCAAATTTCTCGAATAATAAATTCAAATATAAGATATTCATTCACTGGCTTTTCGTATAACCGTCCAATAATCATTGCATCTAAATAGCATAAGAAATCTTCCAATTTTATTTCACTCCCCATTAACTAATATGAGGCAGAATTGGACATTGATTAAGCATTGTTTGGATACAATGCACTTACTTCATGTGAATGCTAGGTTCTTTCCCTTTGTAATAAATAGTTAAATGCGCAATGCAACTATTCACCGTTCTTCATTCTGTTTAGCAAATAACCTGAAAAATTCTTTGCTTCATTAACAGTAAATTTGAGATCAAAACATTCAGCTTCCCATTTTAGACTGACTAATCAATGTGTTTGGAAAGATGGAAAGTTTCTTTTCGTTTATACTTAAAAATGCGGTAACTAATAAAAGCTCGATGTAGTAATTCACAAGAACGTCTAACCAACATAGGAAGAATTTCATGCACGATTGTTAAGTAATTTATCATTTCCTTTCCTATTTTTTCCTAGCTTTCTTTCTTAAGTATGTCACAACTGTGATCAATTACACGATCAATCCAGTCTCTCAGTTGCAATCGATCAATCATATGCACCATCGACAATCAGCTTAATTTTTTTCAAACGAGAAGTTAATCTCTCCTTAAATTCAGAAACCCTTAGAAATCGTTGTATGAACATACGTGTTCCACATTTTAGCCTCGTGTTTTGTGTTTCATATATAACCTAAGAAAGCTAGCCAGTAAAGCTTCTGGCCATTACGTAAACAGCAGCTGATACCAAGGCATTTTAGTGGAAATATTTTGAAGAAATGAAGCAATCTGATTTAAGTTCGAGATCGAAATAATCTAAGGCTGTCTTTCTTTTTTTTTTACACAAGAAGCTCAGTTTTATTGGATTGCTAGAATACTCAAAAGCGCATTAGAATTTGTTGCTTGATATACGTGCACAATTGCTTTATAGAGAAAAATATTATAAGATTCCGTGAAGACCGTTTTCACCAAATAAAATTCACTACGGCTCTCGTTCTGGAAAACTCTTGCCGTCACACTAATCTTGATCTAAGCTAGAACGTCAAGTAACACTCAAGAATAAATTAAAATTATTATATTTTGTGCTACAGTTCCTATACATAAAAATAACAGCAGTTATCTGAGGTTATTTATAGGGAATACAGTCAATCCACATACTTATACTATATTTTTACAAATATTTACACTATTTATACGAAATAAAATAATGTACCTCAAACTAAATGATAACAATTCTATGAAATTATTCACTGATCTTTTACAGCAGCTCAGAAAGAGCAGTTAACGCATGGCAGCAGAGAGTCTTACATTCTGGTGAAGGCCAACGAAAAATACAAAAAGACAGTATTAATGTACAAATTACTCTATTTATTTAACTACACTGGCTTTCAAAAGTAAAGGAACAACATGTTTTTCAAAGCTCACCAATACAAAAGTGTCAGTAACGTTTAAATTCACAGTTCATATGCATGACAGTAAGTTTAAGAAAATACATGCAAAAACAATAGCTACCACTTTCATTTTATAGAAATGAAACCATTACAAAAATGTCAGTAACGTTTAAATTCGCAGTTCATATGCATGACAAAAAGTTTAAGAAAATATATGCAAAAACAATACACTTTCATTTTATAGAAATTAATACTTATGTAGGAGTTGGAGAAAAAAATACAAAAATTGTAGTTTTTGTTCACGAGTTTTGATCTTCAGTTGTTATTATAGTTTCGTGAACAATATCCAGGAGAAGTCGTTTGCCCGATTCGTTGAGGTGGCGGGTGATCGGATGGGTGGAATGGGAATTCACAAGCTGAAAATGTTGCTAGACGTCTCATTATCTCTCGTAGTGTGGTCTACCGACTATCTAATCAGTTTGAATCCATCGATTCTATGTCTAGAAGACATGTTCCAGGCAGATTCTAGAGTTACAACACCTACGTGAGACCATTATTTAACTCTTTCGGCCCGACGTAGGAATAACATTTCTGTGCTTCAACTCATGGAAGATCATTTAGTGGCAACTGGAACAAGAATCTCAGCTACTACGATGCGCAGACGCCTGCACAGTATAAATCTGTATGCAAGACGACTTGTTGCTTGTGTACCCGAGGACACAGAGGCGCCAGTTTATTTTGAGCAAGAAAACACGTCTCCTGGACCTGTCAACAACGTTTTCTTCACAGAAGAGTGAAGGTTCACATTGGAGAGTTATTTAGATCGTCAGCTGATCTGAAGGAACAACGCACCATATACAACCAATCCCACATTGTGGAAAGACATAGTTACAGAAGTGATGGAATAATGTTTTGGGCTGGGATATCTCTCAGTGGTCACACTGACCTGCATGTGTTCCATGCAGGAGCTTTGACCGGGGGTAGATATCGAGACGAGATCCTTGATGAATATATCCGCCCATATGCCGCTGCTATTGGTCCTGGATTTCTTCTGATAGATGACAATGCGCGACCACACTGAACTCGGGTTACTGAAGAATATCTTGAGGGCCACGGTATGGAGCGGGTAAACTGGCCAACTCAATCCCCAGACCTGAATCCGATAGAACATTTTTGGGACTACTTTGGGAGACAGGTTCTGCTTTAGGTCCTCCTCCGAGGTCGTTAGATGAGCTCGAACAAGGATTACTCCGGGTCTGATCGTTGCTTCCTATTTCACTGATCGACAACTTAATTGACAGCATGGAACATCGCTGCCGCCGAAGTATTGCAGCTAAGGGTATACACATTCCTTATTAACACTTATTTTTGTAATGTTACCATCCCATTGTTCCTCGAAAAACTGTGATACACTGTTTCACCAAGACTGGATTTCTCTGCCATGAGTGCAATTTTATATTGTATTTCATATTTGTGCTGAACTTTAGAAACATTCTCTGTCACATATATTAAAAAACTGTTAAGTAAACATGTCCAGTAAATTTCTTGTTTCTATGTTGCTTTATTCTCAAATTAGACAGAAAAAACATGCTGTTTCTTAACTTTTGGAGGGCAGTGTATTTATTTTAACGTAATCTCGCATATTAAACGTTGAAAAAGTATATGTCATTGTGGCCGTGTAAAAGACAAAAGACTGATAGTTTAAACTAAAAGCTATATTTACGTGCAAAATGCGCATAATAGTTGTCAAGCGAAAAAATATTTTTAAGTGTCAGTTATAATCTGCCGAGCTATTTAGAGCAGTGCTTACAAAATAGCTCGGGAAGATGAGGAATAGTTTTGGATTTAACTTTAGAACACTTTTTGAAACCAGACATTAAAGGCCAATAGCTTTCAACAAACAAATTCTTCCCACAAATGTACCAAATATTTATAGCAAGTAGTATAGGTATTACAAGCAGATCACAAAAGCGTTTCTCAATCTGTGATCAGCGGACTACTAGAGGTCTTCGAAGCCTGACCTTGTGGTCTTTCTAGGTTTCCAAAAAAAAGCGTAAAACAATAAAATTCAAATTAGGTGTGTATACCATACTATAGCTGAAAATCTCAGAGTTTGGAAATTACGCATGGCAATCGTCCATCCTTTTTTCTCCCATGACTGATATTTTAATAAATTTATAACCGATTATCTTACCTACAGATATCTCAATCTAGTTTTAGAAAAAAAAAAGATTTAAAGCACTTTGGTATTTCTTACCAGCATGCATCCAAACACAAAATAGCTATACAGGGCATCGGCAGAATCCACGCATCTCATTAATGTGATTTTACAAATACTTATTTAATATCTAGTTAATAAGATGACGATTATCCAAACTTTAATAACAATGAATTATTAAAAGCAAATAAAAATTTTCTACTATTAGCTTAAAGAAAAATTAATTAATTTTCATTATTTGCATTTTAGAAATATAGCTAATAATGGTACTAACATATGCGAAAAAATTTGCTTTCGAAGGGGAATAAGTAAAGTTGTCCGAGAGCATTTTAATTTTCTAAACTGGTCCCCACTTAAAAAAAGTTTGAGACACGCTGATTACAACAATAAAAACTTTCCTAGAAAAAGCGGGAAAACGCTCATACACATTTTTAAACCGGGATATTTTAAGCACGCTAATGGAAATTATAATACTTAGAACTCCCAAACTTCGAAGAAAGCAGACAATAATAAAGAGACAACACAATAGGAAGCATCTACGTTGACACAACAAATTCATAGCTTCGTCATAAAGGGATGGTCTGTGAGATACATCGTGCAAATTATATCGAAAAGCCGTTATTCTGTTGATTAGTTTAGCCTAAACTTTATACTCCACAACTGTTTTAGTTTGAGTAATATTATATCGTATTTCCTTGCGTATTTCTCCTCCTAGGAATTTAGAATTAGATTCAGAAAATTTCAAAAACTTTAGCACTTTTTTAGTTTTTCCCTTCCGTTGTTGTACATACTAGTTTCCCTTACAAGGGCTAGCTTATTGGTAAATTGTATTCCCTTGATTATTTTTATTTATATTGAATGAATAGAGTCATTAGGGATTTTTCAACGCAGGAACGTACAAAACGTGCCCCCGAGATTCGAACTCCGAACCTCCCAAATACGCATCGAGCTGCTTCCAGTTACACACTACAAAGACATGCGGAGAGAAGTCAGAAAATACCTTATAAGTATATTCAATTTGTTTTTTGCATTTTTGTGTTAGCATTTCATCCATTTTATTTTCCATTGCATTTATTGTTTGAAACGTATTTTGTGTAGGTTCTTCGCTAAGCTACGCAGACTTTGCATGTTTTTTTTTCACACTTAAGAAACTTCCCGGGCGTGTGATTTCACCTTACCTCTGTTATTTACGTTCCATCTGATTGGAGCTTTATGGACTGCTGAAGCGTTTGATCTTTCGAAATGCAGATCTTCTGTTTGTAAGAAATAGCCCGGCAAATTTCGCAAAAATACTGGAGTACGGCATTCTTGAGAAAGACGGATTATTTAGGCGATACGCTACTCATTTGCTGCATACTACGGTGAACAATCAGGCTGACCAATGAGAAAGTAGAAATTCCCAGTGCTTTTACTATATATTGTGTCTTTGCAAATGCGTGAATTCTGAGAGGCAACCAGCATGGACAGTCTCCAGGCCTGTCGGTCTTCAATTTAGAAGTTAAGCGCTTCAATCTGTTCTCTACTGGTCCGATATTCTCTCTTATGGAGAATTTTTTCTACGGTCGCATCACAGGTCAAGCCCTAATGGGACACTCTCAATAACTGGCAAGAATAGGGAAACTATCACCTGCTGCAGGCCACGACCACGTATCAAAATATCAAATTACAAATTACTCGCGTAATTTTCTCCTTTCGATTTCCGAGCGCCTCTTTCGATATTTTCGATTTTCGATTTAAAATTAGTTAAAAATAAGAGAAAAATACGAGAGGAAATACGGTAGTTCAATATTTTTTTTTTTTTTTTTTTTTTTTTTTTTTGCAGCGTTTCCTGCTTGTACACAGTGTCACAGTGTTCTCCTAGCAGTATTAACAGCTGTAGCAAAGTTTCAAAGTTTCATGCTACGCTACTATTTTGAATAAGCTCGTTATAGATCTAGATAAAACCTTCAGTTTTTACAAAGGGGGAGTTAGAATTCAGGCCGATAAAATGTTGAGCTTATTAATGGTTTTGATTAACAAAGTTTTCGAGTGGATAAGATACCATGGTACTATTACTTAAATCAGCGACTATCCTTTTATACTAATTGTTCTTTTTGTGTTCTGAGATCTATTTGTGTAGAAGAAGAAATCAGAAGCTGTACAGATTTCAAACTGTACCCACTTGAAAATAAATTAAAAAATTAGAACTCAATTCAGCAAATAACTTTACAATTAGAGTAAAAATCAATAACTAAGTACAAAATAAAAAGAAAATCAAGACAGAGAATATTTTTAAAACGAAAACTAATCCCAATTAATAAACGTTTTGAATACATACCGAAGCTATAAAATTCGTAATTGCAACTATTTAAATTTTTAATTTATAATCGCTTTATCGGCTCTGTTTAAAAATATCCACAAAATAAAATTTATTTAAATATTTACAAAAGTTTATAGGATTTAGGAAAAAAGTTAATTAAACACTAAATACTTACTTATCACTAGTCCCAGGTAGTAGGGAAAGAATTATTCCAGAATTATCCGTTTCCCCATCTAAAATGAACAGAAATTTTAGTTGGAAGAAAGATCAAGATAACTTGACATTCAGTACACATGGGAGATGCTTCTTCCCATTCGTTTAAACCATACACACATTCAATTTATATTCACTAAAATATTTCATTTCACTGCGCTTGGTGTTAAATTAAAATGTTTCTATTGAACTGGTTACATATTTCTTGTGCAATGAAACTGAAATTATTGCGAGTTTATTCGCAGCAGATTTAACAACGAATTTGGTCAGGAGATAATTAGCCAGGAGTTGGCGTACGAAACGAACTAAAGTCTCTTCAAATACAATGCTGTATATAATTTTGAAGCCTAAGATTTGCTTATTTTCTAAACATCTTAAGCTCTGAAGATGTATTGGTAACAAAACAAATTAGATTCATTGTAGCTCTAAGAAGCTTCTGTTATTTTCTAGTCAGATAATGAAAAAGTTTTTCTGGGCCACCAAAACAATTTTATAAATCGGTCATTCTGTTATTTCCTTTTTTTTTTTTTTTTTTTTGACTTTTGATTAAAACGGTTAAACATTTACAAAATGCAAAGTATGAGTCTTGAAATTAATCATGTTAAAATATCTAGCAAGTGTTTATATTTATCATTTACATTGTAAGTGTTGCATCCAACAGCAATTTCAGTCTTAAAGATAATTAAGTTAACCGTTACATGAAGATAACAATCACTAAAGTTATTCGAACAACCGATTATGTAGATATTCCAGATACTTCAAGTAAAATAAAGAGAAATGCATGATCACATAAACACTTTTTCTGTCATTATCGGTAAAACAGAATCAAAAAACCAATCTTTCAAATTGATTCTTGGCCAGACATTATGTCGACTTACATAGATAGAATCAAAAGACAGTTGCTTGGCAGTCTACCCCTCTGCTCAAAACGTTCGCGAAAAATTCCCCACACAAGTGTTAAACTTGCAATAATTGAATATAGCAGCAGATCGGTGTTATTCTCTAAGAAAATAATATACGAAGTGTTCTCATCCGTGGTAGCATATTCGTGTGACAATAAAAAAGGTGTTAAAGCATCTTCCGGCCATCTTTAATCTGTTGTTCTGTTTTATGAAGATGATTCTACGAAGTCAACACTTTCTGTAAATTGAAGCTATCCAAGATGACTCGATAACCATTCTATGACTGATACCAAAAGAAGCATTCTGGAAGACTTCCCAGAAGTGCTGGAGTAAGTGAACCGTTAGATATGTATTTCCAAATGAATAAACAATAAGTTTGCAACAAAAAATATGTTTGACGCCAACAACTACTTTCTTTAATGAAAGCTTGGATCATCTTTAATTAATACAATTTTGGAAGTTTTAAATTTATTTTACGCTTACATTCTCCTATGCATGTGATTTACTATAGATTCATAACATAACAAAATACGCACCAAGTGGGAGCTAATTCAACGTATATATACTTTGATATTAAGTAATAATAGTTGAGATTTTAATGCTGACGACTGTGGCTATAGCACATTGAAATAAATCCTACCAAAACTCACATCACAGACGGATTTAACCAAACAACGATCAAAAATGGTCCGTGAAGGGCCTTGCATTAAAAATTATTTTTATCTGTATTATTTTTTTTAAAATACTGTTACTGACTGAAATATTTCAATCTTAGAGATCGATTAAAAGATAGACTTTTCCTTTTTTTCCCAGTTAACACGATAAGAAATGTCGAAAAGACAGTGAAAAAAAATCTTTCAATGTAATTCAGGCTAGAAAATCAAAATACTATTTATGAAAAAATGTTTCACAAGTTGTCTCATATGACATCTTTTTAGACAAAAGTACATAAACAGTTTTTAATTTAAAGTACTTAGTTTTCAAAATTGCCATATTACACATTTTTCTATCTAATCTACATGAAATTTGAAAATAAAGCGTCTTTTATATAGAAAAAAATTTTAGTAGGCTTTAATATAAATAAAAATACCCAAACAAGAATTTTTACTTACTTAAAAATTTATCCACATTAGCGTAATGAACTTGGAGCACTAAATAACTAATTCCAGTGTTTTTTCCAACTTTAAAGCCAACACCTGCGGAAAAACAGGATAATTTCAGAAATAAAATAACTTTAAAATAAATAAAAATATAAGCCAGTAAGTTGTAAATATGTTATGATTTGAATTTTCATCACTTAATGATATCAGACATTTGTTTCAGAGGGTGATATGACTGGAGTGAATCTGATTGCAGATTTTTTTCGACCTCTATAAAACACCTGAACCCAAAAAAATGTTTATCATTATTCAATTCTTTACGAAAAATTCTAATACCACATATCTTAATATTTGCTTATCTACCTTTATTTCTCATCACGCCCAAGAGCTTTAAACTTTTCCATTCATTTACAGGTATAGAACATAGGTGTACCTACTTTCGATGCTACTTAGTATCAGGCTACTTATTATACCTCTATGACACTTTTTTTTTTTTTTTGCTAATAATGTCTTTATTTATAACTGCATGAAAGCCCTCTCCTTCTGCTATTTCAACAGCAAAATAAACAAACAAACAAAAATCTCAGGTTTCGAATTTTATTAGCCGATCTTTCTTCCCTTTTCGGAAGCAGATAATGGTTTCTTGAAAGATGAAGATGATTCTGAAAAATATTTTTATCTCTCTGCCATTTAATAAATTCGAAAATTCCTCTTCCAAAAAGATGCAGCAATATTTCATCACATAAAATTAATATTAGTTTTAAAATGTACTTAATTACAAGAAAAATATCCAACAATATGAGAAGACCTCGTAAGTAATATTTTGAGATAATTAAATGTGTTAGAAGACAAACCGCATAACAGAAATTTTATTTCATAAGAATATTTGTTTATGACAGCCTACATTACAAGTTATCGCTCTCGCCTCTTTTAGCATGCCTCCGTGGTGAGATGGTCATCACGCTCGGCGCGTATTCGAGAGGACCAAGGTTCGAGCCCCGGCGAGGGCATTGCTCATTTTTCATATCTCCTGCTTCGAAATAACCTAATGTCTCTACAACATACGTGTTAAGCTGAAATAAAAACGAGTCAAACAGCAAAATTTTTTAAACACATTGAAAAAAGCCTATTCCGAGAAGTCTGTTCTTTTAAGTAGGGGGATTTTACGTTTTAAAGAAATAGAAAGTACTGTTACTTGAATAAAGTATTTGTTGCAGGTCTCTTGTGGGAACACTTTGGTGAAATAAATGCACAGTTACGTCTTGAAATCTTTTCTTTATTAGATAAATTAATGTATAAGTTTCCACATAATGATAATTTACGATGAAATAGTATATCATAGCAAGATTTTTCTTACTCAACCATTTGCTTTTTCTGATTTTATATATTCGTTTTAAATATCTGACTTAATGTTCTGCACGTTGAATTCCTGGATATCTAGTTCTTAAATTAATAGGCGAATTCCAACTGTGTGGCTTAAAATTATTTTAACCATTTAGATAGCAATTTTTTAGAAGTTTCTATATTCACATTTTTTATAATTTTTTAAATATTCTTTTAACTTTTTGAAACTCTAATGATAACCTCTTAGAGGTACACGACGATAAATTGAACTTTTTACACTGTAATTTAACTATTTATTTAATTTTTTTCTGTATTTTGTTCTAATGATGACCCTTAAATGTTAAATATACTCTTATTAGATTGAAGCCTAGAGCCCATGCATAATGTTTCTAACTACTGAGGCCCTGTTGTTTCTGCCTTGATGAAAACCTTTTCATTTGGATTCAAAGGTTATTAAATTTCGATTTTGCCAATTTTGAAAATAACACTTTGGTCTCGGTTTTCCTCCAATTATGCTTTGTGAAGAATGTAATGATTTGTATCATGCAAGATTCTAATTTAAACTGTAGGATTTCTGATAAAGCTGAGTTATTTATACACAAAATATGTCCTAACAAAAACGCCGGATGTAATATGTTCAGTAAAATACTTTGTTTTTAGAAAATGGAAACTATTTTAAGCATGAAAACAATGTCTGGCATATGTCCTTCACTTACTCTGCAACATTGCTCTTTTTCGATGAAATTCGTAAATCACTTCTTTCAAATATCTGACTATTGAGATTGCTAACGACACATTGAATTGCCTCTTTACTTTCGTTGTCAATCTTTCTAAGATTTCTATTATTCTAAGTTGGGATTTTTTCGGACTAGTGAAAAACATAGTCACGTACAACAGCGACGTTTTCTACAGACCGGCTGTATCCAGAGCGTGGTGATTTAATTTCTGCTGTCGAATATGGGTTCTCAAATTTCTTTAACAATCTGCGAAATGTTGGTAAGATGCACTATAAGATGTTTCTCTCGCTTTCTTGGCATGCCTTCGTGGTGTGGTAGTCTGCACGCTAAGCGCGTATTCCAGAGGTGCGTAGTTCGATTCCCGGCGAAAGCGTTTGCTCATTTTTTATCTTTCCCGCTTTAAAAATAACCTAATATCTCTACGGTACTTTCACATCAAAGATTGCACGAAGTTTCCAAATCATCTGAGCATAACACCTGCCATTCTTATAATGAGATTCCACAATCAAATTTTGCTGTTCCTTTATGTGACGCTCCCTGTCAACTAAGCTGCTGCGAATTGAACTAACAGTAAAAAAAATGCCAGTGCTGCTAGATAAAATCAAGCTCTATATTTTTAAATTGGAACATTTGCCTGTTTTATGTACGCAGAAATATTTTCCATTTTCTAAAATTAAAGTATTTTTTGGTGCGGGGCATCGTACATATCAGAGAAAACTGAGAAGTTATTTTCCCAATTTTCGAAAACTGCTTTTATAGTAAAGCATTAACTATTGTTTGCAGCATCAAGAAGAGCTCATGTTACGTCAGTTTTTGCATATTATTTATGAAAGAATAAATTTGATTTCTGGATCGAAATATTTATATTTCTTCAGTTTTTTAGACTTAAAATTATAAAAAAGTTAAAGCAGTCAGCAATAATATAAAGTTATTGTTCATTACCTCACGTGCAGTTAGAGTGAAAAAAATACAGTTCTTACCTTCGGGTAGCGTGAGGGGTGGCGCATCTTTGGCCCAGGCGTAGATGATTTGGGATCCGCTGGCACAGGTCGGCCCTCTTAAGTAACCAGACTGTTGACCGCTCATCTCTCCACAGTCCCAGACCAGCCTAGGGCTGTCTCGCTGCCTCTGTCCAGGTATACTGCAACCATAGATCAGTATGTGGTGTGCCGTATGCATCGATGCATTTGGTTTGAATTCCACTGCGTTCAAATAGGAAAGGACTTGAAATATCATTCGATACGTCAAAAAATATTATGTAACATTATGGCAATATAATGAAAAGGCAATTAATGTATTATCATTATTTCTTCCCGTGAAATGAAAAACTGTAAAGTCTTTTACATCACCATGATATCTTTAGTTTTAAAGGCAATGTGCTAATGACAAATATCGTTTTGTTTAAGTTGAACTAAATTATAAAACACCATTTTTTTGACATACTGCTAATCATTTGTTGTACTAGAACTCCCTATATTGCTTTATTCTTCATTTGATCAAAGTTTACAGTTTAAAAGTTGAGAAAAATTCTAGAGTCCTTTGAGATGGTTGAAATTTCGACAAATAGAAAGGTCACATTCATTTTGGATTAAAAATTACAGACACAAAACATTCCGCCAACTTATACAATACAGAATCATTTCCAAGGTTGTTGTTATACTATACTGAATTCAGTGTTATAGAAAAACAAAGATAACTGCATTGTCCCATATGTTTTTCTGGGTATCCATTTAATAGGTATCTAACGCATTTTAAAAGTTTGAATTTTTGTTGTGGTATTTAATACAAATGGTTTATCTCACGTTTCAAGTCGAAAACAAAGTGATAGGAGTAAAGTTTGAAAGGCAAGCTGCTGTTTTACTGATGCTAATGTGTACAGTACGCTACTTTTCCTAGTCACATACAAAGTTCCTAGTCACATACAAATGATATTCATACACTTTAGAGTGGTTTTGATGAAGAGTTTTCTAGCTACAGAAAATGAGAATTATTTGAATTGCGAAATATCGCCTGCTTATTTTAAATTTATTCTTCTTTCAAAATGTTGCATGTAAATAAGTTGTGGATTGAAAAATATGGTTTTGCGCTTTCCGAAGAGAAATATTCCTAATTCGAAAACGTTGTGGAATATACTGAATTAAAATATGGTTGTGAAATGCATGGTGTTTCGATTAATAAGCAACTCATTAATCGGAAAATTAAAAACCGCAATCAATACTTCTACATGGAACGACGACTCCAAACGTATAACCAAAAAGGATACGTGCTATTTCTAATAGTTCTATAGTTAAATCGTTGCTTATAAGATAAAATCCACCTCAAATCAATTGCAAGGTCTTTAAATGCATCTGTAGCGACAATAAATAAAATAATATAAAGAAATTTACAACTTAAAAAAGCTTAAAAACATAATATTCAGCAGCTTTTAATGTGGCTCGACGCAGAAGAAGTGGAAACCTGTATTAAGATTATATAGCAGGAGATAAATGAAAATTACATTAAAACCCTTGATGAAGCATGGTTTACCTAAATGATTGTAATAAAAAAAAAAGGTTTATTACCGAATACGAGGAGAAAAATTGTACAAAACTAGTTCCGGCAATAGAAAGAAATTTACAACAAGGGGCTTATGAATGTCGCAGGATTCCCTCACAATGGGAAATTAAAAATGAGAAGAGGAGGGAATTTTAAAATCAACTCAACGTATTATCAAGAGAAAGCTTAACGTCTAATCTTAAAGAAGAAATTCCGTTTCTTTATTCCAATTATTTTCAAAGAACGGAACTACATAGATATAAAGCAACAAATCATACTTCAAAAGTACCACTGCATTCCTTGAAAAAAATGAAGACTGCTACAGGTATCGCATTATATCTTTTTAACGTATTCTTGCAAACTTCCCTGCCGTGTCATCTTTGGATTATTGTGCCCCTGGTGTTTTTGAACACGGCTGTTTCAAAGCGCAAACCCATCACGATTGATGGGCTCTGAAAAATACTAGAAGAGGAATGGAAATTTTACGGATAGCCATTCTATCATGAAAATCCCTATGCATACTTATAGTCCAGAAAAAGGCTATCAGAGTGAACATTTAAAAAAATACTCTTTACATTTTAAACATTAATTACACGAACAAGAAATCGTTCTAAAGAAGTGTAAACATACTTTGTGGTGAAGTGCCTCTAATAATCGGGGTTGTATTATACTTTTATCAAAATACGCAGCGGAAATATATACATTTTTACTGAACTTAGAGCATTTAAAGCAATTTATAAATAAGTAGTACATGATATAGGTTGCAATAACTCTTTAGTGGAAAACAAATACTGATTAATAAGAATATAATATTTTAAATGGTTAAATTTAAATTTACTGACAAATATTTTATTTAAATTTCTTTATTCTAATTAAAACTAGAATAAAGAGGAATATATTATTAGAATACACTGAAGTGACAAAAGTCATGGGATACCTCCTAATATTTTGTCGGTCCTCCTTTTACCCGGCGAAGTGCAGCAACTCGACGTGGCATGGACTCAACAAGTCGTTGGAAGTCCCCTGCAGGAATTGAGCCATGCTGCCTCTATAGACGTCCATAATTGTGAAAGTGTTGACGGTGCAGGGTTTTTGGCACGAACTGACCTCTCGATGATGTCCCATAAATGTTCGATGGAATTCATGTCGGGCGATCTAGGTGGCCAGATCATTCGCTGGAATTGTCCAGAATGTTCTTCTAACCAATCGCGAACAATTGTGGCCCGTTGACATGGCGCATTGTCATCCATAAAAATCCCATCCTTGTTTGAGTACGTGAAGTCCATGAATGGCTGTAAGTGATCTCCAAGTAGCTGAAGGTATCCCTTTCCAGTCAATAATCGGTTCAGTTGCACCAAGGGACCGAGTCCATGCCATGTAAAAACAGCCCAGACCATTATGGAACCACCACCAGCTTGAACAGTGCCTTGTTGACAACTTGGGTCCATGGCTTCGTGGGGTCTGCGCCACAGTCGAACCCTACTATCAGCTCTTACCAACTGAAATCGTGACTCATCTGACCAAGCCACGGTTTTCCATTCGTTTAGGGACCAACCGATATGCTCACGAGCCCACGAGAGTCGCTGCAGGCAATGTCGTGCTGTAAAGGCACTCAAGTCAGTCTTCTGCTGGCATAGCCCAAGGAAGACAAATTTCGCGCACTGTCCTATCGGACCCGTCCCTCGTACGTCCCACATTGATTTCTGCGGTTATTTGACGCAGTGTCGCTTGTCTGTGAACATTGACAACTCTACGCATACGTCGCTGGTCTCGGTCGTTAAGTGCAGGTGGTCGGCCACTGCGCTGTCCATGGTGGGATGTTATGCCTGGAATTAGATACTCTCGGCACACTCTTGACACTGTGGATCTCGGAATGTTGAATTCCCTAACGATTTCCGAAATGAAACGACCCATGCGTCTAGCTCCAACTACCATTCCGCGTTCAAAGTCTGTTAATTCTCGTCGTGCGGCCATAATCACGTCAAAGCCTCTTCACATGAATAACTTGAACACAAATGAAAGCCCTGCCAAAGCACTTCGCATTTATACATTTTCTACGCGATACTACTGCCATCTGTATATTTGCATATTGCTATCCCATGACTTCTGTCACTTCAGTGTATATTACTTTAAACTGGAGTTTCAAAACTGCATAGCTACATCGATTATCGGTTAAATGAAACCACTTTCCCTGTAGTGTGAATGGATAATTCCATTGCTAATGTTTTAATTAAAGTTTCTGATGTATCGAAAGGTATATACTATTTTTCATTCAACTAACTAAATGACAATTATTCAAACAGCTTTGGCAATACTGAATTGTGTTTCGAGATTGTTCGTAGTCGAAAAGGTTCTCACTCAGAAATAAAGAAAATAATATAGTATTTTAGAACTGTTTAAATTAGTACATCAGATTTATTTTTTGAACAAACACACAAGCCTGAAAAATATAATTTCTCTCCATGCAGAACCATCATAATAATTATATGATTTAAAATTTGAATTCCAATGAAAAAAACTCTCAAAGAAATTTTACTATACTTTAACTACGTCTTTGCTCTAGCATGGAGCAGTTAATAGCGGTGGATGCAGTACAAGGTTATATTCAAGGTTTTGTCTACTGACCTTGGTTACACTCATATGATATATGAAGCTTAGTTTACAACTTTACAGCTGTGTGAATGATGACCTAGGAAAGAACTAACCTACCTTCAGGGAAGAAAAGGAAATATAAAATCCAATATGTCACAGCAAACTTCTTTGATTGGTTCAGTACCCTTTGAAAGACTATAGTAGCTCACATTTGTGTTCAGACAATTATGGTTTTTCAACTTTATTTTCGTTCTGGCATGCCTGACTAATTTATTCGTGTAAGAATGTTTCTTTTGTTTCATTCCTCCGTAATAATTGCTTTTAGTAGAATTTTCGATAAGATGCCATGTTTTGTTATTGTTTCCTCTAACTAGCTATACATGATTAACAGGATTTAAGTCTGAAGAATATGGAAAGATATGGGTAATTTAAAAACAATAATCTAATAACCACAAGCGAACATTTAGGGCAGTATGTTTACAATCATTATTCTTATAGAATTTAATTATATTTCGCATTTCAAGTTTTCTTGCAGATTCTTTCGAGTTTTCATTAAGAACATTCATATTTTTATACTTATCCCCATTATTTTACATAAACACGAAATTCACATCTCAGAGGCAATGAAACATCCTCAAACCCTTACTCCTTCCAAACAGCAGCCAGAAGAGTTTTCGGATTTAATTCTTCATTCGCCTTTCGCCACATAGCAATTCGTCGTTCGAACCCATATATATTAAATTTTGATTCGTCTGCAAATATAATAGTCTTTCAATAAGATAAATCATTTCTTACCATGGCTTTGTGCAAACGCCAGGCGTATTTTTCTTGTCTTCTTGTTCACGAAGAATGTACTTCTTTTTGATCGCATATTGTAGTCATATGCTATATTGACTTTCCTGACAGTTTCTTGGATTAACTTTTATTGCAAACTGTTCTTCTAAATCTGCTACTAAGTTTTATAGTATTATTGTTTGTACTGTAAGGTATATTTGAATTTTATAACAGCTATTTTAATTTCGATACACTTTACTATCGATTTTTGTTTTCATTTAAAACTCCCTACCAGAATAAT